TCTCTGAAAAATCGGAAGAAAAAAGTTCCCACATTTTCACGAAAATGCCCAATTTGTCAAATGGAATTTGGCAACGTCTGAAGGCTCATACGGCATTTTTTCCCGACATGGCAGAAAAATCTCCACATTTTCGACATGTGGTAGTAAGAAGCCCCACACGAGGGGGTGGGTGACGTAATCCTGACAGGGGCGAGGAGGACGATGAAAGGGATGATTGTCGTAATCGCGATTATAGGGGTAATTGACCAAGCATGCTCGGTTCTGTCGAAACGCGGGGTGGTAGGGGCTTGGCGCGAGAAATAGGGGTGGTTCGAGGGCCCGATTCGGGTATTGATTCCTGCGCGGGCTCGGGCACCCCGTTTCACAATGACGTCGGAGCCGGCAATGGCGCCCCTCAGCGCCGCGCCGGCTGGAGCGTCGGCGAGCGGCGTCGGCGTCGGCGTCGCGACGCACACTCGCGCCCGCCACGATCCACGAGCTAGTAAACATCCCGGTCCCTTCGGCTGCGCCCGTCGTCCCGGGAAAGTTCCTCTCCGGGAAAGTGCCTCCCAGGATTCATCCCTTCGTAACCTAGTTTCTCGCCTTTGCAAGGTATCAGTTTTGTCGCTTCATTCTAACCTTTATTTTTACACAAAAAATAACTAGCTACTTCTCATTTCATTAGAAATTGAAATCTACATACTAAAAAACCTACTACTAGTAGTAAGTACTAAGAAATCCTACTAATCCCACTAAACTACTACTCATACGAAATACTAAGAATACTAAGAAATATACTACTACTTCTACTACTACTACTACTACTACTACTACTACTACTACTACTACTACTACTACTACTACTACTACTACTACTACTACTACTACTACTACTACTACTACTACTACTACTACTACTATTAAGCTCTACTACGAAATCCTAAGAAAGGTAGAAATCCAGCAATTTGCAACCCATAAACAAATATTATTTATTTTTTGTAAATACATAGATTCGACTAAATTTTAGCTGACAATACAAAATAAAACATTAGATTCTTCGAATAAACTGCATGCCTATCAAGGTATATAAATGGACCGCAAGTTTATTAGGAAGGAACCCACCCGCATCAAGTCGAAACTGAGAAAAAGAGGTTTGAAGTTTCATTCTTCCAGGACTCAATGTAGAAAATAAACTTTAAGCTCTTTTCGCAAAGTAATTTTTTCTCAACTTTGAGTTTTTGGCAGGAGAAAATATGACACCAGAAGCATTCAACAACATCCTTGACTCAATTTTTTCGAAAATGTGGGTTAGTTCCTTTCTGATAAACTGGGTTCAAATATAACCCGCTTATTTTACGATCTAGAGTGATGCTGCGTAATGATATTGAGCGTATTTTGGGTAGATGGACCCTCCCACAAATAAAGTAAATCGAAAGGAACTACGATACACACACATCCTATGCACAAAGTTCCTTCTTTTTTATTTAATTTATTCGTAATTAGTTCGTTTAGAATAAAGTCATCTTTACGTATGGTCCCTTTTAATTCACTTTATGCGCACATAGTTCTTCCATATTTATCTCCTTTCTAAATAGTTTATTTTGATTTAATTCATGCGTGCGCATGTTGGTTGATCCTTTTAATTTAAACTTATTTATACATCGTTTCTTATGATTATACACTGCATACTCGTTGTTCCTCGCCACATAAATATACCTAAACAATACGTGGGTTATTTTGACCGAAATTCACAGTAAGATACAAAGTCATATCGAGATTACGTGAAGATTAAAATGTTGTGAAGTTTATTCTTTGTAATGCTCAATTCTAGAGATATATTACCATGTCCACTTTAAAATTTAAAATATTTTTCATCGATTTTGAATTTTTTATTTGTGATATTAAGTGGATAAGTAAGCTCAGAGCTAAAGCTGATATTCATTTATTTTCCCACCTAAATGAAACTTGGCCCCTTTCCTGTTTGATTTGAAACATTTCTGTATAATTTGGTTCATCTAACATGTGCCATTGCCCCTGTAGGAGACCCATACACTTTCTAAATAAACAAATGAAAAAATAATCACTTAGAAGTCAGAGTCAGAATTTTGAGACGCATCTGCAAATTACCTCGGCTTAAATTCGTCTTGAGTTATATTAATCCAATTTCTTTAAATCTCCATGCTCGAGAAAATTCTAAAGAAATTTCACCGCGCTATAAAATGTTTGTGGGGCTCGATCTCTCGACATGTTTGAAAAGGGCTTTTGCGAAACCTAGTGGGAGGTTAATTCAGGATCAACATCTTTTCCTCGGGGTAGAATTCCTCTTCATGACCATTTTTTTAACCTTTGCACTGTACTGCCGTGCTAAGGAGACACGCCGTATGCACACTCAGGCCTTGCAAAATTTCCTTAGATAAAATACAAATTTACTGGGAAAAGTTGTCAAATTTCTTCTTCCAATTTTTCAGATAATTCTGTTCGTAATTTAATCTAAAATATCTGCATATCTCAAGGAAAAATATAGACAATTTTCTTACAAAATAAATATTTTATATAGGGAAATTTGGCAACTCCTGAATATTTATACGACGTTCCTCCAAATCGCGGCAGTATTGTCATGTTTGTGAATTAATCCAAGTATTTGTGACCGAGAAAGACACATTGGGTATACGCGGGTAACCTTTTTTTCTTCTTCCTCTTCATCTTCTTCTTCTTCTTTAAGCGAAGTTTGGTAAAAGTTTTGAGGTTTGAGCTTTTTGCAGATACTTTCTAGCACCCATGTGCAAGGAGCGATGAAGTTCGTTTAGAAATGAAAGGGGGGGGGGAGTAACAGCCCAAACACGGAGGGCACGAAGTTGAGTTCTGCCAGTGAGTTGAGAACAGGTGCGACATGACTTAATCAGTTGCGAAGCGTGAATGATTTTTGTGTTAAAGAATCGATATTGATAATCGATCCTTTTCCATAGGTTTAAATGGTAGATCAATTCGTCGTCTCCGGCACGAAGGAACGTAACTCCACTCCAAGGTTGCCAAATTGACTCAAACAATTAACTTATGATAAATAAATGTACGTAAGCAATTTTTATCCAAAATATCTCTGTTTTTTGCTTGGGATCTAGAGAAAAATCAGGGAAATTTTCAGTCAGAAATGCCCAAGATTCTCTTGATTAATAGGCAATTTGCGAGGGGAAATTTGGCAACATTGGAATGGAGTTACGTTCTTTCGTACGGGAGACGACGAATTGATGTATCGCAAAGCACGCCACGCCACTGGGCTTAATGCCCTTTTCTCCGTAACTTAACGACTCGCAAGATCGGTCAATGACTTGCCTCCTATCTGTCAACTTGATTTCCTCGTCGTTGAATCGTAGAAGAGGTAATGCGACCCTTCGACATTAGCTGCTACTGCAGAGGCGATTCCAACAAATTGGCAAAATTGTAAATATTTCATTTAAATCCACTGAATAAATCGATTCTAGGCAAGACAGACAGCCTCACTTAGGAGCGATTGTATAACATATGGATCACATTTAGCAAAAAAGAACCAGCGCAATTACGGTGTTTTCAAAATCGTGAAACTTCTTCTCTTCTTTTAAAAATATTTAATATACGTACAGAATTAAAATTTACGCAACTATTATCCTTTAAATTCAACAATTTTTTCGTGAAAAAACAAAAAATATTTGCTATTCTGGGAGTTTTTTAGATAATCATGGAAATGCAACAATTTTAACACCCTATCACTGTGCTGGTTCCTTTTTGCTAAATACGATTCATATATTTAAATGATGAGAGGAATTGCAGGAATCGCCACTGCCTCTATGACTCTGTTGTCTCTCGCCCAATTCCTGTATCAGTGGCGCGGCATGCTTTTCGATCTATCGATTTATCTGTCATGTAAACCTAAAGAATAGGATCGATACATAGGTGTTCGCAACAAACACCATAATAAACGATTCTTTATCATAGCTTCAAAGAGGGAAATTTCGATAATCGATCATTCTTGCCTCGCCACTGTCCTGTATTTCTTACAGGTTCATTCATTGGATACATCATTTTTGCGGTATTTGACGTATCAATTTGGGGTCCTTATAATATTTGGCATGACTGACTTGCGATGGTGCAAACCAAAACAATAAAACATAATCTCATATACGAATTTTGTGCGAGTCATTTGTGTAGATTCATTGGAATTTTTTTCATTACCAATTGGATGTGATCATGTACAAGGAAGAGATGAGGTAATGTAGGGTCGCTCCAAAGTGGTGCTCCGTTACATAACGCAAAACCGCGGAAGTGCGGTCATTGGTTACCCATCTGGATCTTCATGCAAACATACCCATCCAGAGGAGAGGAAGAGGACGAGGTTTTAAAGGGGAAATGAAGATTTTTTTTAACTTAGATTAATCTTCTGAAACTACAGGTTGTGATGCTCTCATTGTTTATTATTTGGACGTATTTCTATCAAACGGAACTATGTGCATTATGACGTGAGCCCTGTTATGCATACATTTTTATGGGTTTCAGGGCTCATGTCTTAATGCACATAGTTCTGTTCGGCAGAAATACGTCCATTTCTGATGGAGTGGTTGATGTTTTGTAATCTACAGTAAATTAGGATGATCGAATCTTGATATGTAAGAAAATTACCTCAGAGTACGCTTCCTCTAAATTTTGTCTTATCAATTCAGTATTACATTTACCCATATTTCAGAGGAAATGAAAATTACGTGGAAGTTTCTGAGAAAAAAAACTGGCTTACTCACTAAATTCCTTGGTTGACACAATAAGTAATCACTTTAACAAGTCAGTATCCGTTTCTTCTTTTTTTGTATATAAGTTTGCGTTCAAAGCTTAAGACAAAAATGGATCCCGGTGACTCATATATATTTTATGTAAAGGTATGTTTTGTTTCAGTTCTGAATTTTTTTCGTGCAATTGATTATTTTTGTATTATTTTATTTTGGAATTGACGGCTAAATACTCGTTGTTCATGTTGTTTACTTTTTTATATGTTTCAGAGTTCTGTCTTAAGCAATAAAACTACATTACAATGCCTGGCGGCGAGCTAAAAATGCACAACATAAGCCAAAATTCTCCGTAAGCATTCATATTTTTTGTCATTTTTCTTGTCATTACGACTCGCGTAATCAAAAACATACATGAGACAAGACATCTTGTTGGAATACAATTTTTGAGGAAAATGATTACAAAGACCTGGTTATACCTGTAAAACAAACAAAAAATTGTGCGTCCCTAAAAATTGGAGATAGTAACTTGCAGACTTTCTAATATTTTGATTTTGTAGTTAATACGACAAAACATGGGATACAGTGTTTTAAGATACATGTTTTCAACAGATGAACGGCAACCAATCAATATTTTTGTTCAATTTCTGAAGCTTTTCCTTGATACAGGTAAAAGAGAGGAGATTGAGTTCAATAAACCTCGCATTATGAATGAGTGATAGAACTTTTTCTTATGCATCCCTTCTTATATCGAGTTTTGACACGAATGATGTAAAACTGAATTATTGCTAAAATATTCGGAGCTCTGATCCTTCAGTTTCCTAAAGTATCTGCTCAATCTTTTGAGAGCTAAATAATAAAAATCATTCGCGTTCCCAGAAATGAAGGATGATTTGTTGCCCATGCTAAAAATGAAACACAACATGAGAGTTTCGCGGCCGCACACGTTACTCTAGTTTCATCATTGATTTGTCCCAGTTATAGCCACAAAGGATTGCATATATGCACGCGGATTTGTATCCTCTTCATTTTTCTGGTTGAATCAAACAGTGCCGAAACATACCTGCGCATCTGCTTAATATCTCCACTTTTGCAAAATTACATATAGGTTCCTCTGTTTAATATTGCATATGTTTACTTTTCAAATGAAAATTGTAAACTCTGAAAAAGCTTCAAGAACTTACACAGGAGAGAATAAACCAATTTTTGGATGCGGAATTTTGACTTTAGTAACTTCCGGGATATAAATTTGTCTCGAAAGATAGATATGTAATTACTTATCGCCATTGCATAAAATGGCAGCAGACGCTCCGCAGTCTGTGAGGCGCACGGGCAAATATGATACAAATCAACGTGCTTATAGGTCAAGAAATTGCCTACCTGTCAATTTGAAGGCGCTCACTGAAACTTAATGTCATCATTATTTGGAACTTGCTTTCACTCGTATATGTTCGATGAGTCCGCACCGCACTTTATTTAAAATTTGAATTAAGGGACCGTTGTTCTGGGGCTCTATTTTTATATTTCAACCCTGCAATTTAAAGTATTTCCATAATTAAGATCAATTTTTCTATATACCGTAGTAGAAAATTTAGCTTATCCGTCCTTCACATATCGTTCCGTAACTGAGCAGTTTGCACACGTCACAGGCAAATAATCAAATGAAAAATTTCGCCGAATGCCTAGGTAAAGTGTCAGGCATTCTCACGCTGGTAAAATTCTGAATCCTCTGCTAGCTTTGGATAAAATCATTATTTGCGATAAAAACGGCTGAGCTATTAGCCGACTTAACAAATATAATATGCAATAATTGCTAATCAGGCCATGCTTTAATAAAAAAACAATGTGCAATGTCCTCTTGCACATTTTTTTTTATTAAAGTATGGTCTGAGTAGCAATTATTGCACATTATATTTGTTACGTCGGCTAATAGCTCAGCCTTTATTGTCGCATTACGAGTAGCTGAAAACATAAAAATCTTGTAATCATTATGTGTCTACATAGATCAAAATTGAGAACTCTTAAAAATTCGCATCGTTGTATAGTTGCTGCACATGACAGATGCCCAGTTGCCCAGATATGAACATTCATTTCAAAAGATTCAGCATTTTTCAGAATACTGAGTTTTTACAATTTTTACGGTTAAAAAGATACGAGGGACATTTTAAAAAGGCAAAAATAATGAAAGATCGTAGTTTGATGGATTCTTACTTTCTAAATAATGAAGATGCAAAAGATCTTTGTAAAACCCACAAAGCTCCGGAAACTTTCAAAATTTGATTATCTGCACAGGCATTTCATAAAATGCCTGATTTGACGATTTTCACCTTTGACACATTATACTCGAATTAGTTCCTTTGATCCTTAAATTTTATGTATAGTGAACTGTTAGTGAACCAAACTGTTTTTGCCTTTCAGGGAGGGAGGAAACGGCACAAAGTACAACGAATTTTCAATAAACGTTCCACCTCATGAGTCACCCCCGGATGGAGATTATGATCCGCACACACATCGAGTTTTAGACGCACCCACAACGTGAGTATGCCTATTTTCATATCGCTGTAATACAAATGGATAGATTTCTGCCAAACGGAAGTGGACGAGTAGGAAAGATGGGGTGTGCTCTAGAGAGGTGGATAATTAACATCCTTAAAGTGGGCGTGATTTCCTTTCGAGGAATAGAAAAACGGGATTTTATATTCTGTCAAACGGGACCATGTGTCAACTAAATGCGGCACTCATGAGCACGGGCATGTGATAAGAGCGTTGTGAAGAAGGCTCATCAGTTGAGGGCTCCGAAAGTCGATCCCAATATCGAATCTATCACCGCTTACGTCACTGGCGCCATAGAATTCCCATTCATTCTTACGGTCCTCGACTAACGAGCACAGACCTCCTCTCACCTGTCTCTGGGTCCGTTTGGCAGAAATCCGCCCAAATGTCATAACATTGCAGGTTAAAAGGTTACACACCTTCAAGTTTGATCAGATTTTGCTGTACGGAAGATTGGCTGCATGGGGCGCGTCTCCAATCAAAACGGGTTCGTCGCAAAAGTGTTCATTGGGCAAGATACATATCTTCGTTTGTAATAATTGACCCATATAATATTCAGTAGCTGTTCTTGAAATTTGTCAACACTGTTTTTCTCAATTTTAATATATGTGAAACAATCGACTCTGGGCGAGGCAGATTGCCTCACCAAAAGCCGATATTTTTAATGGATTTAAATGGAGAAAAACAGTGTTACTGACTTTTAAGAATCGCACTGCCCATATAATATCCCAATCGGTCAGTTGCTCCAGTAAGTAGATACGTTACGAACGAAACGATACGTCAGAAGTACGTTTTTGATAGCCTTAGCCTTGACAAATGGGTCGCGTTTAGCAGAAAGGAACCAAGCCACATCTGCTATCCCCAAATTTAACTGGGCGATCCAATTTTTTACAAGAGGACGTTTTTTCGGATTCCCTTGAAAATTTTAAGGAATTTGCTTCATCCTACGCAAAAAATTCACGGAAATTTTCACAAGATCCGCATAACTGTTTTCATGTAAAAATTAAATCACCCGATTAAATTTTGCAGTAGCTGATGTGGCTTGCTTAATGTGCTCCAAATAGATTGGCAATCAGGAAAAAGAACTGTCCAAACGTCTAAGTTCTATTCATATATTAATGAATTTCCGTTTGAAAGAAAGAGTGTTGTTTTAAAACACCGTCTATTAAGTGCACCACGTCATTCACCGCGAAAGTACATACCATGGTTACGGCTAGTGATTTAGCCCTTGATTTTCCCATCTCAAAATTCAGTTATCCAAGTCCACTCCGCCCATTAGTATTACCAGAAGAGAGAAAAACGTTGTATATTATCAGATCTCTTTTACTTACACCTATTTGTTATTTTCAGTAACAACGAGACGCTAATTCACTTGCTGAAAGGAAGTCTTGGAACGGGAATTCTTGCCATGCCAAAGGCGTTCTACCAAGCAGGTCTCCTCATTGGAACAATTGGCACAATCCTCATAGGATTTTTATGTACATATTGTCTTCACGTTCTCGTAAGATCCATATAAATAATTGTCTACTTTTAATTTATTGCGTTTTTGCATGATTGGATCGATTTTTAATTGACTTTTCACAATGATTTAGCCTCGATGCTTCAAAAAACCATAGAGTACATAGAGTCGTAATGCAAGTGGGCGAGCTGACGCCACTTTTAAGCATTTGCCAGGTCCCGAATTCCGAGATTCCTGTGCGGCGCCGGGCCCCTTTTTCGATACATAATCGATTGTTTGCGATACACGGGGACCCGGCCATATTCTACACCGCCATTTTGGATTGAATATGTAAAGTAATCCCGCACACCGGGCTCGGAACTCGTCGAGCAGAACATGGTGCCAGCTCTCCCACTTACATTACGACTCTATGTGCTCTATGCAAAAAACACATGCTATACATACATACAAAAAATGCATTGCTATGTTAAACTGATCATGTTTTTTGAAGTATCTTGACTAGTCATTGCAAAAAGTCAGCTTTATTTTACTTTATACCGCATAATAAATTTAGAGAAACCCAGAGAGAGTTAAGGCGGAATTTTGCTGGAGAGAAACATGCAGGAGTAGATTTACATGACACTACAGATTGACTACATAAAATTAATGATGAAGCTTGTAGTGGCGCGGCGTGAATAGTCAATTATCGATATTTCTCCATTTGAACCTATAGTAATAAAGAATCGATTTAAGGTGTTCGATCCTTTTCCATTGGTTTAAATGGCAGATTAATCGATATATCGCAAAGAACGCTACACCACTGGAAGCATGTGTAGACTCTTGTTTGTTTTTCTCTTGTGAGAGTATTAATCACTTGCATAACAACGACCAGATCGCGGAACAAATTGTTAAACATTGTGGTTGCGGTTACCACACCGCTGAAACTGCTGCGGTCTTCGATACTCGAGCATCTCATCGGAGGAAAACCAATTGTGCCCTTGACTTGAACTTGGAAGATTTTATTCTCGTGCAAAACCCACAAGATGGAACGACACCTCTGACCCATCTTCCAACTAACATAAAAAGCTCTCGTAACATGATTTGGCATAGTCATCTTCTAAAAAAGTTTTCACATTACAAAGAATGGACCATTAGGTAGATTATGAAATTGAGCATCATAAATTCGCTTTCTAATTGACATTTTACCACAACATACAATTGACGCATTAAAAATTGATAAACTTTAATGAAAATGGGCCACTAGACAAGGTACGAATTTAAGCAATCTGATACATGTTTCTTAACAAAAATTTCACGTAGAACACGATTCACACAACGAAAATTACTGAAACCAACTCCTAACGAAGATATTAACCTTTTTATTTCACATTGGTTACGAAGAATTTGAACTGCCCGCTCACAAGAAACTCAAAGCTCTACGTGAGTCAAATCGCGCACTACAACGGTTTCAGCAAGCTTCTCAACCGAGCAATGTTCATTTCCCCTCATGTATTTTTCAAACTATAAGTAATTTGCTATAGCTGAGCCAAAGTGTCAAGATTGAGGTTGCCAGATTTTTATATCGCAGAGACTGTCATGATAACGTTTAGCGCGCAATGTGAATCACGTGGGGCATTGAGTTTTCATAAGCAGGTGGTTTGAATTTACGCATCAGGAATCATTAAATATCTTCGTAAGGAGTTGATTTCGGTAATTTTCGTTGTACGTATCGTATTTTACGTGAAATTTTGGTTAAAAAACATGCATCAGAATGCTGAAATTCGTACCTTATCTAGTGGTCCATTCGGAGCAAAACGGCGTTTGTCTACGTTGATTCACACCTCCCACTCAAAGAGAAGTGTCTGCTCGAGTCAACACGGAAGCCAAACTAATTTTTCTTACAAGATTAAAGATAACCTTAAGATAGAGGAGGGAAATTTGTCTTATGAAATCAAGCTTTCACTTACTTGCTTAAAAGTAGGCTGATTTCTGTACTTAATTTAGCCTTCACTATGGGTTTACTATGGGTTTTTTCACGAGCGGGATAGTTGAATTTACTGTTGATAATGTAAACTAAAACGTTTATGTTACAGTTATGAATTAATTTTGAAGATTTTAAAATGCGTTCAACGTGTATTATGTGAAATTTTGATGAGAAAACATAGAATGAGAGGCTCAATCTCTTAAAATGTCTAATGGTCTATTATGATATGTTACGGGAGTAAAATGAACGACCAATCTACGCGATCCTCGAACGTGACTTAGCGTGTGATTTTAGTGTAAAATATACATCATTATCTCTTTTGCAGGTTCGTTCCCAGTACATCCTGTGTAAACGGAAACGAGTTCCAATCCTTAGTTATCCTGACTCAATGAAAATTGCCTTGCAAGAGGGTCCTTCGGGATTGAGGATGTTTGCTGACGCTTCATAGTAAGTTAGAATCCGATAGTTTTTATCGATATTAGGATACCGTGGTCTTGAAGCAAAAAGTAAAAAAGAAAAATAAAATGCGACAAAAATGTACCCAAAAACGGTTTACAGTGAGTAAATATCGGCCTATGGCTGAAGAGCTAACAAAAGCATTGTAAAGTATTACCAATAATACTCCCTCTAAAACATTGAAAATCCACGTCATGATGAGGAAGCAAGGTTTAGAATTCATAGATGGAAATCGTTTTGGGATATTGATAAGAGGAAAGTTGTGAAAGTCTTCACAGTAAATTATTTACGCGCCGGCAACGCTACAACATACCGTAGATTCATCGTTGCAAACAGTTTTTGGGTACATTTCTTTTTTTTTGCTTCATGACTATTCTGGCCTTGGCGCTTTTTCAGTCTTGGCTAAAAGTTTAGAGCAAACTTCCCGCCAAAACTGAAAAACTTGCAGGTCGGTATATTTTATTTTACATTTAAGCTTAGTTTATCCTGATACTTGATAATCGCCCTTAAAAAGACCATAAAATACGACTCTCTACCAGTAACAATATTAATTTTATCAAAAACCTAAAACAAATTTTCAACGTCTATTATACGGTTGTTTTCAATCCGCCAACTGCATCCGCAGCAAATGTTGTTACGAATATGTTGTGCGTCGTGATTTTATCTCATTACATATTTGGCTGTCTGAAGGCGTTTTTTTTTGTGCACAAGCAATTCGCCTGCTGCTGCGTCTGCAGCAATTGTTGTTATGAATATGTTGGACGTGCTGATCTTTGCTCATTACATACTTGACCGTCTGAAGGCGTTTTGTATACGGAAGTAGAGCACCCTGTTGTAGAACAACAGAAGTGAGATTGAATGAATAGCTCAATCCCTCCTTCGTTCGTTCTTCAACAGATCGTGCAAATAAAACGTGTTCAAAGAGTCGAGTATGTAATGAGCTAAAATCAGCACGTACAAAATATTTGTAACAACGATTGATGCAGAAGGCGAATTATTCAGTAAAAAAAAAAAAAGAAATTATGAGGCAGCTCTACATGCAACAAGAGGGTAAGTATATTCGATTGACATGAATCAAACGGAAAATAAGAACGTGAATCGATCGATGTGAACCGATGGACGTCGATTAAATGGACTAAAAAAAAAGAAAAAAAAAAAAAAAAAAAAAAAAAAAAAAAAAAACAGATCAGAATCAGTAAAAAACTTCCCAAAAAATAACTCAACCGGGTATTTTTTTAAAATACTTTCAACCAAAATCATCATCATGAAAATGTATATTGTGAGTACTTCAATAGCTCTTTTTTGTTGAAGGAAAATTATCATCGGAGGTTTAACCCAGAATCTCCCGATAAAATATATACAGATTTATTTGCAAGAATTATACCGTACATTTCAGCTAATCTGAATCTGCATTCTCTTAAAGCTAAGTAAAAATCTTCAAAAAAGGAGATATCAAACGAATCAACTCTATCCGCTCACATCGCAGAGTAAGATTCTCAGTTCCCACCCATAACGTTTGTGCTATAGCACGCACGCATACGACACGCACATACCAAAGAAGTCTATGCTACATGACGAAAAATTCGAGGCAGTAAATTCATTAATTTATATTAGTTTGATTTCAGTGTCATAGTCGATGGGTTCCTCATTGTATATCAACTTGGAATTTGCTGCGTTTACATCGTTTTCGTTGCAACTACCGTAAAGCAGGTAATTGAATGTACTCATTATCTACAAGTATACGGAGGAAAATTTCTCGGCGAGAATTTTCTTATGAAATTGCCTAATCGATATTTTCCTCCTCAAATTCTTTCTTATTAAAAAAACTGGAATAAACGATGTCTCAATAAGATTGCAACCGCTGTAATATCAATCATTTTGGGACAACGGGTCTTCCAGTATATCAAAGAGAAATATGATGATGAAATTGTTAATAGATCCTATCGATGGTCTAAGACATTTTTATTTATGTAAATTCGCACAAGCAAGGATATTAATGATTTTCAGGTCTTCAGAATGTACAGGGCTCTTCGCTCAGTAAAAGAATATTTTTGAAAGAAGCATGATGAAAACGGCATTTTCTTACGTAAAAATACAACACAAGAACTTATCATAAAAGTACATTACCCCAACAATATTATTTCCCGTCATTCTAATCAGAATTTGTGGTGACAGCGAAAAACTATCTCAAGCACTCATTTTCTCTTTAACGACCAAAAATTAAAATCAAGGCGAGAAGAATTATTATTGAGGTAATGATATTTTATTATGAGTTTATGGAGTGATTCCACTCTTCTGTGCCAGGGAAAATTGTACAGCGTAAAGCAGAAACATACCAAGCCACATTAAATATTGCCTAATTTAACTGGGCAATTTAATTGTTTACGTAAAAAAACGGTTGTAAAGGATATTTGTGCAAATTTCAGTTAATTTTCTGCATAAGGCGAAGAGGATTACCTAAAAGTTTCAAAGGAATCCGCACAAACGTTCACATTCGGAGGATTTAACTGTCCCATTTTTGGTAATGGCAGATGTGGCTTGGTTCCTTTCTGCTAAACGTGGTCTAATTTTCCTTGAATTGTTGATTTATTTTTCTCCGCCTATAGCTGTATCATTGAATAATAATGACGTATGCAAGAAGTCTTAAAAACTACATTCTGAAAAAAGCGTTTAGGCTCTTTCTTGAAAAAAGAATTATAGAAAAAAATAATCATAAAACGCACGATAGTGTGATATGGGCAATTTTTAAAATTAACACTCGATTTAAGAATCGAAATTTATGAAAATTATTGGTCGACATCATTCTACAGGGCCGAACACATAGGACACATAAAAGCGCCTTCAACCCACTACGTAACGATCTTTATGCGAAAATCTGATACCACTATTCGTACGTCAAGACAGACATTTTGCATAGCCGGCTATTTGAAGGCTGATTATTGGCCCAGGCAGGAGGGAACGACTTTCAGCAATGTGATACATGTTTTTTGGAGAGGATAACCACCCAACCCCCTTGGGTTACCCCCTTGCAACCAAGGAGCCCAGACCCAGGGGCTGCCTCCCTGGCAACCAAGAAGCTCAGACCCGAGGGCAGCCCCCCTGGAAACCAAGAGGCCCAGACCCAGGGGCTGACCCCCGGGCAACCACGAGGCCCAGAATTGGGGGCTGCCCACCTTGCAACGAAGGAGCCGAAATTGGTCTCCAGATCTATGTTTAGACCAGTATTATATCCGAATTGAGACCGAAAATAAGTAACGAATGTTGTGCTCTGTAATATGTCGACCTGTAAGAAGCAAAAACTCGTTGATTTGAGGAAATTTAGGGTGGGGTTAAAAATGACCCTTAATATCACCCCTTCTTTTGGGGACGAATATGTCTTGGGGCACTCTCTTTGGATTGTATTTTGCAAAAAAGAACCAAGAGCAATCAAATGTCGCAATATGCATCTTTCTTACCTTGGGAGTATAGATTGATTGTCTATAGAAATTTTATCTGTACCCGCTATCAACTATAAATACTAGTCGAAAATTACCTTTGTATACTTAATTTTTTGCATTCTTCCAGTAATCAATTGCGAGAAATGCAATTTGCACAACCCTAGCTACATTGGAATGCGCTTGGCTCTTTTTTTTCATATGCAATTGAATTTCCCCTCCATGCAATGGATTGCATTATACAAAAAGGAGCCAAGAGCATTCCAATATTGCTAGGATTGTGCAACTTAAATTATTTGCAAAAAATTAATGAAAACATAAATAGAATTATAATTACAAAGGTAATTTATGTCTTGAATTCATAGTTTATTGGGAGTTAAGATAAAATGTGTTTAGATGAACTATTCATATTCCCAAGGTGAAATAAGTTCCATAATATTAGCGACATTTGAATGCTCCTGGTTCCTTTTCGCAAACTGCAATCCAACTGATCCATTGAGAGCGCCTTCATTTTTTGCGCGCGCAACACGCGCAATCAAAAAGCAGTAGCAGTTGTATCCATCCAGGCGTAATCATTAATCATCTTTTGTTTTTAGGTCGCTGACGAGTTAGCTGACCCGATCGATCTACGCGTGCACATGCTCATCCTGCTCCTCCCTCTGATCCTCATCAATTACGTTCCTAATTTGAAAATGTTAGCGCCTTTCTCGCAAGTGGCCAACTTCATAACTTTTGCCGGATTGGCGATAACGTTGTACTACATCCTCCAAGATCTGCCACCGGTGTCGTCGCGGCCGTTAGTCGGTGAGCCCCGAAACTACTCTCTTTTTGTCGGGACTACGCTTTTCGCTCTCGAAGCTGTTGGAGTGGTGAGTCTTATTTATCGACAAGTCTCGATTAAAATTTCTCAGAGTTAACGCCATCTGAGTTCACGCGCTTTTAGACTGTAACCGAAGACTGTCTGACGTTTTTTTCAGCATGGAAAGAAAATGCAAGAATCAACTGGCATATCGTCCGTCGCAGTCCAATAGTGCGAAAAACTCATTTGGCGTGAACTCTCGTAAAACGCAATCGGCAGTGTTAATTTTTCATATTCATCTCCTACCTCCTTTGACGAAATTCAACGTCGGTGAAAGTGTTTGAAAAAAACATCGCCTGGAGGAAAACATTCTGCCTTCCGATGGTTCATAGGAATGATCGGTATTTATTTTTTAAATGAAGGGCAAAAAAGAGTCTATACATCTAAAAAAATGAAAAAAGAAAGAAAAAAAACACTAAGAAGTGGCCCGAACTGTATGTAACAAGGTGGAGAAATGGTGCTGGATCCACACAATTTCGCGTGGAAAACAAGGCCGAGAAGTTCCAAAAGTTATAATTAGAGTCAAAATTAAATTTTTTGGCGCGTATACGTAGTATACCGCCTTTGCGATCGTTTCGACCCCCCACTCGATACAATAACCGAGTCCCTTAGTTCCTTACCGAAAAGTGACTACCGCGAACTTCTGAGATTTTCCAAAGCGTGTAAAAAGTTTATTTATCCGTCAATAATTATGATTTAAAGTTGTTTCTCATTCTGGGGCTCCCTAGTTTATCTGTAATGAATACCAAGAGTCTACGTTACTTGGTTTTTCTTAAAAAAACCTTAGAATGCGACGCGCTGATTTAAAATATGCATATATAAGCAGAAGCAAGCGAACTGATTCGAGGATGGCTGATCAGGTCGGCACTCGTTGAATGAGAATTTCACTTCTTCGTTTTGTTTAAAACGTTGCTTTGACAGATCTCCACAACCCTGTTATGATTTTCAAAATTTGGTACCCCTTGCTCTGATAGCCGGGGCCAGCAGGATAGTGGTAAGTGCAATCTGTGATGAGCCTCGAGACTCATTAGACCATGTGCTAACCGTGGCCCATACAGAAATTCACTCCCCTATCAGGCCAAAACAGTGCACAGGCAGGCACAAAACCCAGGTAGTGTCCCGGTCCTGGCTCGGTTCGCCGCGTCGCTTCCCAGCTGAAGAACAAAAGGCGACCCTCGCGGTCCTCGTCACAGTCAGACCTAATTACTTTCACTCGATTACCCATTTCACCGTCACGCTGGGATCCATCAAATTTTCGAAAAAATTGTTTCGCGAGTACTTAGCAATTTTTTCCTTACTCTCCGTTCAAAGACGAATTGAAAGAGGTCTCATTCATAAAAATCGGCCGAATAGAAGAGAAGTTACAGTATTCGAAATCCGAAGAAATCAACGAAACTTCTCCAAACAAAAAATAAAATGAAGGGGAAAAAAGAAATGTATAAATTACAATTAAATATAATTGACCTCAGAATTTGGCAAGCAATTCAACTATATAACGGAGAAAAAATTGGGAGAAATTACAAAAAATTCGCCTCTTGCAAGGGGCTTCCTTGTAAGAATTTTGATCTGAAGGCAAGGATTGAATACCAGCGCAATACACCATACAATACATGGTGTGCCTGAACGAACATTTTTTTTTTTGTTAAAATCGAAAATTCTTTATATTTTTTAACTACAGTGTCTCTTGAGTCGTTTAAGCCAAAAAAAAATTCCGTCAAGATTCTGGAAAGTAAAGGCGCTTTAAAAGTATTCTGGGGCTATGTATCCTAACTGTGTCCACACATGGTTTCTGTTCAGCATATCCATGTGTAAGTATTTTTACACGTAGAATCTAATTTTCACGTCAGGGAGTCGACACATCTCGATTTTTTCGATTTTATACGGAAAATTGATGGTTTTTCGGGATTGAAATTATTATTGTTTCATGAAAAATAAATGCACCCAAAATGACTATAGCATATTGATTTTTATATATTTGCACCCACGAAATTGGTTGGTAAATTCAACGAGTGAGTGCATCGACCTGGTATATCAAGTTTCTGCAATTTTTTACGGCAAATCGGTAGATTTTCGGGATGTAGATTGCTTACTTTCAATTCATGAATGAATAAAGCATGGACATGGTTGAACTTCTTTGCATGGAAATACGTTTAAAATAACAAAATCAAGACATATTTAATGCAATTACATTTATATCGAGTCAATTTCTTTTCAATAATATATCGGGATTTATAATAGGTACCGGTGATTTGGATATTTTAGCCCCAAAAATACCTTTAAATCGACTGTATCTTTCAGGAGTTCGACAGAATTTTTCCTTTCTTCGCTTAAATTATTCCGTAGCACTTTTCTTTAAGAATCTGATAAGATATTGCTGGGGGCAGATCAAAAAACTTAAACTCGTTCGAATGGCTTTCTACATTCACAATACACGGTTTCGTCAAAGTGCGTCGTCGAAGAGTTGGATCGTATGAATTCTCTTGTTGTGCTACTTGCCTATTTTGAAATCTCTATAAATGAAAACTAAAGGGGTTGATATGTGTGAGTTAATGACGCGCCTTATCAACACTTTGGGTGGAGTTCACTGCTTGTTTTTAACTCTAACACATTGGATCTAGAGTCCAGACTCTTGATTACATTGACAAGAAAAAATACTATTGATTCAATCAGATTTAAAAAATCAAAAGGAAATCCGCTCAAATTAAGAGGCTGGGTTCTTGATTTAAGCTTAGATCCGATTAAATCAAGAGTATTTTTTCTTGTCGATGTTTTTGAGAGTCTGGACTCTAGATCCAATGTGTTTTTTTTTCCAGTGTTGGATTGTGCGGCGTGTTAAGTTGGGTTTACTGCCGAGTGTGATCTGCCGATGAGGTCTAAAAAGACTCAAACCGGTATAGCTCTCTCGGCGTGACTCCAACTAAATATTCCAATGCAAACTGCCTGAGCTGAACACTCCCCTCCCCCCACAGTTTCATACTGATACGCATTAGACTTCAAACAAATTTAATTTTGACTTGCCATTTATATTTTGGAACTTCTTAGCTTTGTGTTCCCCGCGAAATGATGTGGACTCAGCACCATTTCTCCACCTTGTTTTATCTAAAATCTTTCCTTCGCAAAAGAGAGATTTTCGTTATAATGAGTTGTCGTTATAGCAAGAGAATACTGTATTTAAAAAAAAAATAAAAATAAATAAACACTGCTAAAGCATCAAGGATGTCAAAATTCATCTAATGATTCTTAAAGGCCCATAGGCTAAGTTTGCCTTCCAAGGACGTAAAGTTCACTGCGAGGGAAGTTAAAGCAGTATATCGACGGTGAAAGTCGGCAATCACATAACTCGGTTTGCGACGTCGCAGACTTCCTGTCATACTTTATTTTTTAAATGGAAAACTACTCAACGGCAATTCTTTAAAACTGTCATGATTTTTCTTCTCAATGAGAAGAAAATTCTGCAAAAACTTCAAGAAATAATATCAATTTGTTCTCCTTTAAAAAAATGACGTAGAGGCGGAGATTTTCAGACATCGCAAACGAGTTATGTGATTGCCGACTTTCACCGTCGATATAGGGATTACCAAACACATTTTTGACAGCCAGGATGCTATTCTAGCATTTAATTATTTCTACCGTTGTAGACATTGCCTATCTAAATATACTTGAAGGAGAATCATGCGGGCAACATAATGAATTATGACTTCGTTTAATGTTGTTTCTTAGATGCTAGCATTGGAAAATAACATGAAGACCCCTGCGTCTTTCGGTGGCTATGGAGGTGTACTGAATAAGGGAATGGTCATCATCGTGTTCCTGTATGTGGCTATGGGTTTCCTTGGATACGTCAAGTATGGAGAGCTCATTGCCGGAAGTGTCACTTTGAATCTGCCCCAAGGAATGTACGTCACTTCTGTTTCCTTTTGCTTGCACGGGAGGTTTTATCAAAGATAGAAACTGTAAAAATTGTTGCTTTGTGGACGTGAATTAAACAGGAACGTTTGGAGAGTGACATATTTTCCCCGAAAAAGTATGGCATTCTATGAAAAATTCAAAGAGCTAATGGAGCTAAATCATACCCTAATGAAGAGTTTGCGTGCAAATTTTTTATTGTTCCATCTGAAAGTGCTTAAAGAGCTGATTTTACAGTATTTTTCATAATTTTTTTTTCTGCTATGGGAAATAGCATAAAAATATATTTAAAAGTGAAACAATGCACCGCCTAGTGACGTCAGGTGGCGGCATTTTCCATGTAAACGCATGCATTTTAGCAGATTAGGTCGTTTTGTCATATCTTCTCCAATAATTGTTCAATTCATGAACCAAGGGTATCCTCGTATTCAGTTCCTCAGTAGTTTCCAATTAAACACGAAATTCATCAACTTTCAGACACCTGCGAATTCTCTATCATGATGAAAATTTAGGGTTTATAATACTTCAAAGGCCTGAATGTTCAAACGATGTTTTTCCTTATATTAGCACATCAGTCTTATTCATTCGGACTAAATTTTGCAATAAACAATTCATTTTTTCGGTCCGTTTTAGAAACAGCATTTGTGCCAGTAGATTCCCAATGCAGATGGGTGATCTTATGGATGACCCCGGAAAATTAGTTCCTCATTGCAAAATAAAGCCAAAATCCCTCCTCGTTTATCAAGCCTCACGTAGAATGGGGGCTCCTCTATCGCCTCGGCAAAGCCACCAGATATATACGTTGAAATCAACAAAGGACCCTTCATATAGATGTTCAAATAAGTGTCCTCTAACATTGAGATGCTCTTAACCCTAGTCTGCCTGAGCCTCTGAACTAACGAGAAAGCCTGAGCGGGGTCAATTTGACCCCAACTGAAAATCAATTAGTTAGCTATGTTTATTTCATGTTTTTAGTTAATATCAGTGCACTAACCTTACAGGCCTTAACCATGAAGCATACCCAAGTTTTAAAAAACACGGCGCAGGGTATGCAACCATTTTATCATACACATGTTGCCATGTTGTTCTCAGCATGAGAAAAAAAATCATAGGGCTACTAAATACTGACAACGAAAAAAATCTGAAAAATTTTGCTTGTTTTATAAGTTTCTGAAAAAAATTAAAAAGAGAAAAGTGAATACACCTTCAAAGTAAGCTTTTGTGATGCTAAATGGTAAAATATATGTTATAAGGATATCTGACCCCGCTCAGGCTTTCTAGGGGTACTCGTGAATTTTTTGATCTTTCATGCACATTTTTTTTTTTTTTTCCCTTCAAAATCGTGTTCCTAGATATTTTTGTAGAGCTATTTGTGAAGGACAAAAAATTTCGTGCATACCACGAGAAATGGCAAAGAGTTGAAACTCCCGTGGGGTCAATCTGACCCCACTCAGGCAGACTAAGGTTAAAGGGTTGATTTTCGAAACTCTTTAAGAGCTTGTTTAGCCAAATGATGTGACATCGTTGGCATATTTACGTCCCTAATGAGAGAAACTAAAGCAATTAGAATTATCATGCTTCCTCTAGTGTTTTCTTATATGTATATGGCTAAGGAGCAATACCGTATATCTGAACACTGACAATTTTACAGGATATAGAAGAAACTTCGGCATTTTAGTAATTTTATGCTTGGATTTGTAATTTTTTTTACACATTATAGCGTCTAATGTAGCGCTTTCGTGCGGAATTGGCAAAAATTAAAAACATCAACTTACGGCTTAGTTTATAGAAGAGTTTCCCGATCGCCTTCAATTCATTGTATATGCAACGCAGATGGCATCGAATAACGAACAGTGGCACAAAGGGTTGAAAGTGCTACCGCACCGATGCAACTCATTTAGCTTGTGTCCTTCAGAATGTAGCACAGTTCCTAACTCATTTTCGCCAAAATTTTTAGTTAGGCGGTATTGTTCTTTAGCCCTCATTATGTTTTTTAGAAGTTTTTTTTTTTTATTCTAAATTTCAGTTTCTGTAAACATCAATTTACTTATTGTATCGATTTTTGTCTTCACTTCAGGCTTGCACAATCTGTGAAATTGATTTTTGCAGTGGCCATATTTATAACATACGCCCTTCAAGCATATGTTCCGGTCGACATCATCTGGAGAACATACATGAAGCAGTATCATAGCCATAAAAATAAAATGTTGATCGAGTACATTCTCAGGACGGCAGTTGTACTCATAACATGTGAGTGAATCTTAACATCCCGCATCCAGCATTTTTTTTTCAAAATTGTGTTATATGATGCAGACTTTTGCCATTGTGTGGATACTTAGAATATCACTGCTAAAAATATTAAGGTATCATTCATTCACCGTGATGCGGACAAGTGACATTGTCATAAAAAGACTCTTCATCGCAAAATCACAATAAACTGGTCTGATTTTACCGTAATAAAACCTCGCGTCTACCTCTAGGTCAATCGGTCCCCGGTTCGAATCCTAGTTGTGGCGACAAATTTTCACGGAACCAACGAGTGTATCTACAGGAACAGATCTGAGCAATCCCTGACAATTTGAAAGTCTAAATAGATAGACAAAGCGATGGACACAGAAGACATAGGGGACATGCAGCAATCCTATTGGTTGAAACAGGTAGTTTTTATAGGCTAAGAGGGAAAATGATGGACTAACTAGAGGGGGTGTCGCGGGTTGCCGTTAGTTTGTCTATTATTTACCTCTTTTGTCCATTGCAACCACCCACTTCCACCAATAGGATCACTCCATATCCCTTTTGTCTTCTTTGTCTATAGCTTTGTCTAGTCAAATTTCAACAATCAGCCCGCAGCCCAGTTTGTTAGACTTTAAAGATTCAAAGAAAAGCTACCCAAGTAGCATTATTCAACGGAAAAATCGCGATTTGTTGCGATTTTGTCGGCGATAAAATTGCTAAGATCATCAACATCTGAGCGATTATCCTCGATCTTCTTGCAATAAAATCGCAATTTTATCGCCCAGCAATTTATTGCGATATATGGCGATTTAATCTCGATTTTATCGACGAAAATTGATCGCGATTTTATTGAACAAAAAATTGCGATGCATAGCGATTTAATCGCCATTAATCGCAATTTTTTATTCGGTAATATTGCGATAAATTGTCATCGATATACTCGCGATAATCAACCGATAAAATCGCTATTGATCGTGGATCACTGCTACTTGGGTACTTATGAGAAACCATGTACACTGAAAAAAAAAAAAGATTGGGAGAATTTACCATTCCCTCTCGCCGTATTTCACACAACGTCAATTCAGAGTCAATTCTGTCAGAAGAAAGGTAAACGTTACTATATACAAGTACGGGTAACCATCCCTCCAGCAGAATCGACTTAAAGATTGGTAGAATTAACCAGACTGGAAAAAAACCACATTGGATCTAGACTCCAGACTCTTGAAAATATTGACAAGAAAAAATACTCTTGATTCAATCAGATTTAAGCTTAAATCAAGAGGAAATCCGCTCAAATTAAGAGGCTTGGCTCTTAATTTAAGCTTAAATCTGATTGAATCAAGAGTATTTTTCTTGTCGATGTTTTTAAGAGTCTGAACTCTAGATCCAATGTGTTTTTTTTTTTTTTTTTTTTTTTTTTTTTTTTTTTTTTTTNTTTTTTTTTTTTTTTTTTTTTTTTTTTTTTTTTTTTTTTTTTTTTCCAGTGCATTCCTTCACACTGTGTGCAATACATGCAGCGTGAAGGAATGGTAAATTCTACCAATTTTTTTCAGTGTAAATCTTAACAGATTTTAAGCGTTATTAAGCTACTAGTCCACACGGATAGAAAATAACAATTTCTCTTATCTATTTTTCCAGTCGTGCTAGCCGTGCTGATCCCGCGGCTGGAGCTGTTCATCTCCCTGTTCGGGGCGCTGTGCCTGTCGGCGCTGGGCATTGCGTTCCCGGCCATCATCGAGCTGTGCGTCCTGTGGCCAGACCAATTGGGCACTCTCAACTACGTCCTCTGGCGGGACGTCTTCCTCGTCGTCATCGGGATCCTTGCCCTCGTCATCGGCACATCCATCAGTGTTAACGATATCATCGTGTCCTTCCAATGAGGCGCCCCCGGACGGCCAGACGCCCTAATAGGCCGCCCCCTCCGCACGCTTCTGCCTCGAGCCAATAACGTCGTTCCTCATCTCAATCGGTGAATGTCCAAGAGAACGTCGAGGAATTGGACGGCATTTTGCAATTAGGAACTACAATTCCCGGCTTATCCATGAAAGCGCCTATCCGCGTAAGGAAAATGACGGCACGTGTGCTCTTTCTAAATTGAGTCAGAAATAGTAGTTCCTGATTGCAAAATTCAGTCCGTAGGAAGTAGTGGTCAGATCAGTATTTTCACCTCAAGACGTCGGTTGATGAAAAAGCAGTATCACTGGAGAAGATTTTTTCAATTTAATAATTAGTACTGAACGATGATTGGACTACATTTTGCAACATGGGGCTATTATTTCCTGCTCACTTGAAGAACATCAGACGAGCCTTTTTAGCCGTTTTTCCTGAGAAGATACGTGCTTTTATGGATGAACCAGAAATGAGGGACGTGGAGGAAATGCGCATAGGTGCAGTTTTTGCTATTTCAAGAAATACGTGTTCCAATGTGCAAAATTACGTGGAGCCTTATGACGGCAAGAAAGCTCGAACTCACTTTTTGATGCTTAAAAATCGGATTTTAGTAGTGAATTATTCACTAACCGTATAAGACTAATTTTACTTGAAATCGTTAATACCTTTTTTTCAAAACCTCCACTCATGCACCGTGTCCTCCATGCCCCCCGAATAATGATCCCACGTCGTTGAATGTGGTCAGTTTCTTGTTTCCTTCAGTTTCTTGAGTCAACCGGAAATCTCTTTGAAGTTAGTGACACGACATGTCTTTAAGATAACAGAAATATCGTATGATACTAAGAGATTTCCTGTTGATACAACGAGAATTCTCATCCCAGAGTTATTAATTGGAATTTCTATTGATCCAACAGAAAATTATTCTCCGTGTCGTTATGGAATCTGGTTGACAATCTGTGCTACCATTGTGCCAAACAAGTTACTATGCTAGTGCCAAATCTGGCCATTATACGCTGAAACTTCTGAATATTTTCTTACATTGTGCCCTGGAGAAAATAAAATGGTTTAATTGCACGATAGCAATATATTTTACAAAAAACTAAATTAAAATGTCAAAATAAAAGCTAAAAAATAACGTACGGAAAATGTGGCGTTGTGACTGAACGTACACAATCATCTATATAAATAAAATCGTTGAGGGTTTCACTGTAACGCTTATTTCTGGAGTTCTACCGGACCGATTTCGACGATGCTTGACTCTGGTTAAAGCCCTTGACGTCCCGATGTCCGCAAAATTTTCAGACTTCCAAATTTTTCAGCCTCTTTCGCTTGAGACGCTTTTNCTCGCGACTTTTTGAGAGGTTGCCCATCGCTCATCTGCTTTCGTCGGATACGTTCTTTTACGGTTATGTTAGTTGATCAATGGGTACATAACAATATCTGCTCAATTTTTCTTTCTTTTTTCACGGAACATTTCCGACTTGTGAGTGTCCGATACTGAGTGATACTATTTTGCCTCTGTATTCGCGAGATACGTTCTTTTGCGGCCGCGCCAGTCGATGAATGGATATTTAGCAATTTCTATTCATACTTTCTTTCCTTTCTTTTTTTTTTACGGAATATCCTCGGTTTTTTAGTGTCCAACCCATTGCGAGGCTATTGTACACCTGTTTGCGCCAGAAACGTTCTACACAATTTCTACTCATATTTTCTGGGTGCAAATGTGCGAGATTGTTGCGTCCTGCGCATGAAGTTTGTCTCTTTTTAGTGCGTATACTAATTAATGAGTCTAATAATTTACACATTCAAACAATTCACTCGAATTTTTTACGCAGAATGTTCCTTGAGTGAGTAGCTAACGACTAGGAGGAGTAACTCCAAATTTACATGTATTTTGCCGGTCAGTGCCGAGTAACCGAAAATCCTTCTTTTATAAGGTAATACGTTTTGTACCCCGTTCGTTCATACATTTGCGCGAAATTCATTTGAAAATACATTCATTTATATGATGGCCAAATGCATGAGATGCTTTTTTTTAATGTAACATTCGAAATTGTCTCTTTTCTTAAGTCCTAAACTTCTCTACTACTGGCGCCACCCGACCTATGATTGTTTAAGTCTAGGGCTTTGGCGTGGTGTTGGCTGGAGTCCTGGAGGACGCCAGTGAGCTACTCCTCCTGGCCAATACCAAGTGCGCAGGGCTTACATTGTCATATTCCGGAGGGACTTCGCCTTATTTAACTCACAGTTAATGCCCCCCCCCCCCGAAGAAAAGTCCCTTACAGGAAAACTATCCACAATGCTTCTTGGCAATTTCGCGTAATTTCGTTTTTCTTTTGAAAATTTACAAGGAAGATCATTACGAAACTGAAAACAGGTAAACTAATTTAGAAAGGAATGCCTCTCGTATTCATGTATTCAGAAGAGTTTTTATTGGATTACATTACTTTATTATCTTTTTGCATTTATGGCACGGAATACGGCTCGCTTGCGAGCCGTAAGTCACTCGCGAAGCGAGTGACNCGATAGCAATATATTTTACAAAAAACTAAATTAAAATGTCAAAATAAAAGCTAAAAAATAACGTACGGAAAATGTGGCGTTGTGACTGAACGTACACAATCATTTTCAATAAAAAGGAAACAAAAGATATATGAATAAGCCCGAATAAGACAAAGTATGAAATCAATTAGAGCCAAATTACTTCTTTGATCCATAACTGATGCAAACTTGAACTTGTTAATCGCCTTGTAATCTATTTGATAATTCTCAAATAAATGGTTTCTGAATCAAACAGAGATTTTATCTTAATCATGCGGCATTTTGGCGCATGGTATCAAGTTTGAAAACCATTTTTGTGAAAATCTGTATTTTCTCGCACTATGGTTTCTTGGTTTTTCCGGAAAAGTTTCCGTGCAACTCACTTGTTTGAGCCATTTTATTTTTTCAAAGGATGTTGTTACCTTAAATATTGTGCCTCTGTCTTAAACAGTACCGTTACGCATGGTGATTGGTTGATGTCTAACTTGATAAATGCTGACTGGCCATAACTCCCTGTAATATATTTATTAAAAGAGGGTTTGAGATCGTTGTAAGGGGTGTCATCTTTGTCTAATCACAGCAAACTTGCGATGAGCTTTATTGCTAATCAGTAATACCCACTGTACCGATGGATCTGGATCATGACATGCCAAACATGTCTGTTCGAAAAATTTTCTTCATATACATTCTGAGAATAATTCAGGCTCATATGATTTCAATATTCTCGGAATATCTTTTTCGATTTGTTGGAAGCGCTCAGTGATAAAAAAAAAGGCTAAGCTTATTGTCTATACGGAAGATTATATTACAGTAAAGTAGTCGGCACGGTTGATTTCTCTGATGAAGAAATCACTTGGTGAGCTCCCTGCAACTTGATGGTACCTTGAAAAATCTACAAGAAAAAAACGCACAGTTGTAAGAAACATGAAGTTTCTTCATTCCAACCATGACCTTTCTTTGTTTTTTACAATCGTATTTATTGTACGATGTTTTATAAAAATGACAATGGAAGTTTTCCTGAATTGTTTACAGATAATTCAGTTTAACATAAAAAAATTTGATCACTCTCTTCACGGACGGTTTCACCCCCAATTGATTTGCATTAAGATTTTCGATTTTCTATATTTTTTTCTCATCGAGTGCTGTTGATGCTTTTTTTTTCTTTTGACATAGACGCTGTGATTAAAGAGTCCATTCAGTTTATCACAGAAGCAATCATTTTTGTTAAAAAACTTTCAATCAACCTTTTCAGAGGCCCTATGGTATTCAAAAAGCCAACAGACATTGAGGGAAGACATATTTTTTTATATACGCGCAGTTCAACAAATAAAAATGTATCTATAAAACACATGAGTGTGCATTTTACGCTTTGAAAAGAGCTTCCGATACCATACAATTTGCTGCGCAATTTAAGGCATTTGCAGGCAGGAATGTGCCTCGACTGATAACTTGATATTGAACATCCTTTGACTTAAAAATAGAGTTTTTCTGGAAAGACGATGGACTAGTGACGAGGCGTAAATGATCGAATATTGATATTTCCCTACTTGAAGCTAAGGTGAAGAATCGACGAATGAGGTGCTCGTTGTCACACCCTATTTATCGATCTTTTTCCATAGGTTTAAAATGGCAGATCAATCGATATATTATAAAGCACGCCACTCCACTAGGATGGACAATGATTTATAGTGGTAAGACTGTGATGTACATTGTTTATGTCTCCGTAAAATGTTTAAAAGCCCCCTTTCAATTATTTTTCCTTTTCGTTAAAGCTCTGCCAAAGGCATTTCGCTCACGTTTAAGCCTATGAAGGACTTTGAATACTCAATCTCAGCCACAGAATTATCTTCTGTGGCAATTGTTAATAATTACATGACTTGGTGTAGAGAATTGTCTCAGAAATTTACTTTTGCCATCTGTCTTAGCATAAGATAATGTATTTATTAAGTTTAACCTCCAGTATTGCGTCAATTGTATTAAAGTATCTTTAAAATCTTAGAAAATCATATTAGTTTGGTCGGCTTTGGCGCTAAATGACTCTCAAGACAAATTACATGCTGCGGAAGAAGAGTCATATCCAGTCATAATATAGTCTATAGTTGATAGAATATACTCCAAAGTCATGTAAGATCTAATATTTGAAACTTCGTTGAATCTCTCTAATAATCTAAAGTTGCCTTAGGTAATATGGGGATAGAGTATATTGTATGAAAAACTCAAAAAGAGGATTTTGAAATTATTCGATCTTGGAAGAAGACAGGACAGCTCAAATAGCTTGAGAGTCCTAATTAAAAGCCAAAAAAATAGATTGTTCTTTTTTCGTCTTGAAGGAGCTTTCTGCGACCATTCAAAGGAGTTGAAGTTTAAACATCAAACTTTTTATCACTACTCAAGCACACATAAGAAGCTTCCAAAATACTTATATATACTACCAACTAAAGGGTTAGGTTAGAGTTAAGTCACAAAGGAAGAAAACAAACTACATCTGCGAGTCGCTTTTAGATTGCTATCCATGAAATCCTGTGATCCTATAGTATTATTTTCCATCCTATTTTTGTCTTGTATTTTAATTTACATTCATTGCCGCTCAGGAAAGGATTGAGATTTTGGAGGAAGAGTGACCAACCTCAAAGCTTTCAAATGAATTGTTATCCTATTTTCAATGAGATAAAAATCGTTGCACATGACATTTTGTTATTTTTATAAGAAGATTAAACAAGAATTTGTTAGTGACTTGTTAATTTTATTAAAATAAAAAACCACGAAAAATAAATGTACTTTTAGGAAATTTTGTATGTGACTCATTCAAATATTCCATCCTATCTTTTATCAGGGTGCACCAAACACTTATCTCTTTTTTGTTGGTGCGTCAAATATATTGTAAGCGGACTGAGGAAACGCTTTTTTTCTTAAAAAAGAAAGCAATACAGATTTCCTCTACTAACAATGAGTGACATTCAATAAACCAAATCTCACGGTAAGAATTGGACGTCGATAATGACGGTGTGCTCATCAAAATTTCACGGAAAACTTGTTGAAAATATCGAAGCTTTCAAACTTTACTCATAAGTTAGATATTAACGCTACTTGTTTACATTATAAATAGAAAACCAAAACCTCTTGCTCGACGAAAATGGGTGAGATCAGTCGTTAGAAAGAACTTCTGAGTTGGGCAAATGAGTGGAATATTGCGAAACACTTATCCTCCTCCTCCTCCTCCACAGGTACCTCTATTCTGTTAGAAGCAAAAAAAAAAAAAAAATCCGCCTGTAGAAAAATTCTTCCATCAAACGTGGGTCCATCANAAAAAAAAAAAAAAAAAAAAAAAAAAAAAAAAAAAAAAAAAAAAAAAAAAAAAAAAAAAAAAAAAAACTAATGCGCTGGGCAAACGAGTATACGAAACATCGTGTTACACACATCCTTTTCCTCTTCTGATATGATGCACCTCTAATCCTGCAAAAAAAAGGAAAAAAGAAAAAAAATCCAAAAATAGGAAATTTCCTCCATTGAAAAGAATATGAAAATTAGTTTAGTGCTCGATATGGCTCGAATAGACTTCAGATTTTTTCTGATCGGGAAGTGTGAATCGTCGCACACACAACAAACTCTGACGTAAGGGCGTATCTTAATTTCCGCATGAGACCCAGAATGC